CCCAGCTTCTACTCTGAGCTCCCGGGACTCACTGACTCCGACTCCTTCATCCTGCCCCCCCTTTGCCTGGGAGGCCGCTCCCACCCCACCCTCGCTAAGGCCCCTGGGGAGAAGCAAACCTCCCTCCCCTCAGAGCCCTGAGACCCTCTTTTTGCTCTTTTATGGCTCTTACCCCTCTGCTGTGAGTGACACTCCTCTGGTCTACACCTGTCCCCTCCCAGCTTGTGCCTATCAGGGTGCTGCTCTCAGCCTCGGGTACTGAGTGGACGTGTGGCAACTAGTACTCAGTTGAGGGAGGAGAAGGAAAGGGCTAAGGAGACGCCTCTCCAAAGGGACAAGTCCCTGAGCAGCTGGCTCCCCCTAAGGCCAGTTTAAAAATGATTATTGACAAATTTTTCTTTGTTACCTACCAGGTGCCATGCGCCTTATTAATATTGAGATAAGATTAATACTGTCATGTTTATCATTTCACATAATGGAACCCAAATGGCACCTGGGGTCTTCCCTTGTCCCTTGTCCCTCAGATGTAATGGATTCTCCTCAAACTCTCCTCCCAGCTGCTCTGGGAGACCCCACACCCCTGGGTGTTCTAGGGGGCAGCAAGCAGAGGCCTGCATTGCTCCTGGGTCCCTCCTGCTGCTCAGTTAGTCCAATGTGGGGATCATTTCACTGACTCTTTTTCCCAAGCCAAAGGGGCAGCCCCCATTCCTCCCCTCCACAAAATGTCACTGTCACATGAGAAGAAGGTCCTCTCAGTGGCTGGCTCTCTGCAGAGGGTCAGCGGGAGGGCAGAGGTTCACATCACAGCCCACAAACCACCCATCCCTGGGGCGTCGCCAGCCCTGCTTGGCGAGTCTGGGTCTTGGGCAGGAGCCTCTCCCTGCAGGCTGCACCTGCCACCATGGCGCTCAGACCATCCATCTCCGGCCACTGTCTTGCTTTTCATTCTGTGGCCTGCGTGAACCCTCAAATTCCTATTCCTGCCATGCACAAACAGCTCCATTTCCCTGTGTGACTCCAGACCCCACCTCAGGCCTCCCGCACCTGAAGCCACCTGTCAAGCTGTTTCCCCAAACAGATGACCCTGTCCCTCAGGGAGCGCTGGCAGGGAGTGTTGAAATCCCCAAGCTCCCACCCCACACGTGACCCTCACAGACACCTGGTGGGATGTTGCCCCGTGAGGCTGAGAGAGGACAGGGGACCCCAACCCCCGAAGTCAGAGTTGGTCCTTGGCAGGCCACACTTTGAGCTGGGACAAAGCCTCCTGGTCCTGGGCTCACATCACCATCGCCCCTCACCCCCCAGGCCCCATCTGACCTCCATCCCCGCCCTCTGCTCTCCTAGGTTGGTGAGATCGTGGTTATGGCCGTGCTGGTCGTGTGCGGCTTGATCTATATGTACCACAACTCCTCTCCACGCAGACCACAAAGGGAATCGGCGTCCCCCAACCGAGAGGACTCTGAGTATCACAGGTGAGCCCCGGAGCTCCTCAGAGGAGCACAGATGCCCCCAAGGGTGGAGACTGGCGGGTCCTCAGAGGTTGTTGTTCCCTGCTCAGGATGGGAGGAGCCCCACGGGGTCTCAGGGTCTCAGGGCCTCAGTGCCACCCCTCCTTCCCCCTTAACACCCCTCCTGTGTGTCTGTTTGTCCAGGAGAGACTAGCGGATGTCAAGGAGCATGCAAGCGGTACCACGTTTCCGTAGTGTTCCAATGAGGTCTTATACTCAGTAACAGCAACGTAAAGATTCTACAAGCATCTGTCATTGGGACAGAAAGAAGTCCTTCTCTTCCGGGTCTCCATGACCCTGGGTGTCCCTGTCCGGACACCTAGGGAAATGTCTCTGCCACTGTCTGCATAATCGCCTCCACGCTCCAGTTCAGCCTGCACTCTGCACCTCAGCCCGCTGGATCGCGCTGCTCCTGTATCCACAGAAGAGGGGGATTTAAGATGGATTTTAACAAGGAGGCCTGCGTAGGAAACATGCATCTGTGTGGGGGCGCCCGTGCCTGGGGCCTTGGGGGACACCCTCCCTGTGCCCCCCTGCACGTGAGCTCGTGGGTTGGAGGAACAAATATCTAGACGCTTAACCCTAACTCTTCATTCACTGCTGCATTTAATAAACACGAGTGAGCATTTCATGTGGTCAAGACTCTCTCTGGCAGGAGGGGGACAATGGTGAGCGTGACACAGTCCGTCCCCTCCAGGAAGTCCTGGGTCAGGAGACAGGACACCATGGGCGGAGGTTCCCGCACACGGGGCAGCGTGAGGGACACCCAGGAGGAGCACGGAGCTGCGTGAGAGTCACTCTGGCAGTGGCGCGGCAGGGAAGGGGACAGTGGGGACCAGGCCTGGCTGGGGAGGCGCCATCCGAGTGGGGCATTAGAGGACAGTGACGGGTTCCTCTGTGTCACGAGGCCCCACACTGTGTGCAGGAGCTTTGGGGACAGTGGGCCACCCCCTGAGACGATCAGTCCTTTCCTGTGCTGCTGCCACGGCGGGGACAGAACTCGGGAAGGTCCAGGGTGTCCGGATCAGACATCTCCAGGCGTGAGGCTAGTGTTGCACAGCG